CCGCAATACACGGACGAGGATCCAGCAAAACAACACGAACATTATTCTTGCATTGTGTCATAGTAGGGATCGATTAAGTTTAAGATCGTTGTTCCCCCATTTCTTACTATTTTGTTGAACGACTACAAGGAAAATCTACAAAGTGATCAAAATACACGAATAGAAAAAAACACAGGAATCAAATCACATTCGAATCCGATTTTTTACTCTTCATCAATCTTTGTTCAAAACGTTCGTTTATTTGAAATTTATTTAAAAAATAATTGTCATGTCGGGGCCTTTTTTACCTTTTATATGCGGGAATGATTTTGCTCCGTGTTGGGGGTCTGTCATACGGTGATCTATAGTTGCAAACATTTACGTCATTTGGTCTCTGGTAGATAGTTGTCTATTTTGGCAATCGTACCTCATCTTCTTATTTTATATTATTTTCTAGAACAGAGAAATGTGTTACACAGTAGCGTAATATTCTAAAAATAAACCAAACTAGAAATTTGTGTACTTGACAATTAAAAAAAAAGAGTGTAACAAAATCGTTTTCAATTTGATTATCTTTATATTTTTATTTTATCTAGAAAGGTCACTGACAATTTTATATAATGTTAAATAAATTAATTCTTATTCACGTAAAAAATTTTGCCCGGATATTTTGCTTCTATCAACTTTTATCAGTTAGTTTTTCGGAAAAGAGAGGTTATCGAATTAAGTATTAAAAGATTACAATGTTTGGACATTATCAAGCATGTTAAATTTACGTTTCGGTGAAGGGTCGGAAGTTTTTTTTTTCTTGTTACCACGGCTTCCTCCACCAACAAAACAGAACACCACGATTAAATTGAGATATAATTGTTGAAAGTGGCGTTAAACTTTCATATGGAGAAGTTAATGTTAGTATCTTTGGGTCAGGAGGTTATTTTGAAAATGGAATATTCATTTTCACCTCTTTCAAAACAAAGTCTGCTAAATTATATGTTGGGCATTTTTTTTTTTTCGATTTGCTTCATTTTGTTTTGCTTTAGATTCACTATACACTCCGCTTTCTTAATTGGACGGTATATAGTGATGGGTGAATTGGTCCATCCGTCCGTTCTTTCGTCACTCTGTCCATTCATTGCATTCAGACCCAGAAGTAGTAGACAATACGAATCACATATAGCTCATGGAAAGTGGTTTCCAACATAGTTTTACACCAAATATTCCGCGATATAAATTGAACAATAATACAAAACCCGACAATAGTATGTATGCGCCATAAATGAACAGTCAAGTCATTTGTTATCTCCCCTTAACTCGTTTACTTTTAATATTTAATCAAGTATCAAAATAAGAATTGTATTTTCAAAAGTTATCTTTACACAGAAGTTAAATACCCTTTTTATAAGTAAAGAACCTTTTATTTAAATCATTTACCTTAATATTATTTTTAACTTTGCCTATAATTTATTTAATCTATATCATGATTTTACTTGCGAATATGAATAAAATTTACTTTACTGGAAAACATCTTTTAAATCTTTAAACTCGTTTCTTCTAAATTTATAAAACAAACTATTAAACAACAGTGAAATGTTTACTAACCTTAAAAGACAATCCAGTCTGCTAACTACATTTTTATTCTGGTTCACCGTCTAATGAACCAAATAATTTTGCACGACTTTATATAGCAGAACTGGACTTAATCTGACACGTGAATATTTTGTTACTCATTACAACGGCTTTCTTTGATCTATTCTAAATAAACAATTGAATATATCGGATATGGGTAGAATTACTAAATCTTAATTGTTCAAGTCTATTAATTTCAAAAAGTATTTAGAACATACTTACAACTTCTCGACCAATCAAATTGCTTGAATTTGCCTTCTAATTTTCATAGTACATACTTTTTCCGTGTACTAAGTAACTACGCATGAATGACCACAAGGGTAGGATTTCATTGTATCGTAATCAAGATATCAAAACAAAAATTGCCACTGGCTATTTTGAAATAAAATGCTGTGTTCCAAATTAAATTCAATATAGTTTGTAATTAGTTTTCACATTGATTTTTAAATATCCTCCTATTAAAATCTTTGGATCTAAAAAAATGTTTTTGACGATTGCAAGTTTCTTTCATTTAAATAAAGAGAAACAAATATGGTTCTTTATACCTTGATTAGGGTACAACGCCATCTTAAAATTGTGATAATTTATCATCCATGTAATTACTTTGAACACCAAAAAGTGTGTACTATGAAACCTTGTGAAGGGAAATTAAGGCAACTTGATCTATTTCGTCATGAATTGATTGGTTGATTATTGGTTGCTTAATGTCCAGTGGCAAATATTTCATGCATGTTCAGGACGATGTCATTAGTTGAAAAACCGTGATAATGTCTGAAGAGAATGTGCCACCTATATAATATATATATATATATATATATATATATATATATAAACAAGTCTAAATTGAAAACAACGTTCAAACCTATGATTGCGTTGGATAAAAACCGCAATTTTTATACGTGTGCATGCAAAAAAAAATTCTTGGTAGAGGGGTCTAAATACAACACAAACAACATTTTCCAAAAGACCAAAAAAGTGAAAAAGTATATTTTAACAAAACGCATTTGACTAACAGGTCGAACAACTGATGTTCTTAAACCCTGATGACTGCCATTGGCGATTGCCAAATAAACGGATCACCGATGTAATAAATGGATCTTAATTTTAAATTTTTTTAAATGCGTTTTGTTTAAATATACTTTTTCACTTTTTTGGTCTTTTGGAAAATGTATATATGTTCTGATAAATCTTTTAGTTTTTACTTTGAAATGAATAAAATAAACATAAACTCTAGTATCTTTGATCTATTGGTAGTTGCTTTTTAATGACTATCCGCTAGACTATCTATTGGGGCGGTTCCAGTAGCATTGATCGTCCAAAAAGGGGGTTTTGCAACGCCCCTCACCCTCTCCCCCTGGATCCACCACTGCATTCTATCTATATGTTTCAAATTTATTATAGCTTTAGTTTTACTGTGAAATTGAAAATTGTTTTCAGGACATGTAAAGCTTCCACTGCAATTTAATTATTGCCTGCTTTGGTCAATTTATTTTGTCATTTTACCATGTAAAGAAGTACATGTATAGTAAAACACCGCTTTATATCAATAAACATACTTACACCAGCAGCTACAATCTTTTCATTCTGGAGTCAAGGGCCTTTTGAAATCACACATTTTACAATGATACTAGTGAGTAGATTTACAAAATTTCTTTAATAAGCTCCGTTTTACAAACACCTGTGATACAAGTAGTCAGCCAAAATAAACTATCTATAGACCAATTAAAAGATTTCCCGAGTTGTAAATATGTGCTAAATTGGATAGTCTATGAAAAGGTATATACTATGAAATTAAGAGCTCGGGGCAAGCCCGGGGCAGGCCCCTCGCTCTAAATTTCATAGTATATACCTTTCCATAGACTAAACTAGACGTATAATTATCGTTTTGCCTTCTAAGCTGACACATTTATCAATTAGCCGGGGGACATGTTTGAGACAACGTTATTAAATATGTTTTAAAAGATAAAACACTTACATTGATAATTTTAGGAAATTGTTTTATAAACAAATTAAACTTTCTTAAATTTGGTCTATTTACGTTTATTCCTTGGTCATTTTATTTTATAACTTATTGATAAATATTCTCTTAAACTACTGTGCATTTTTCCATTATCCAACAAAACTTTATTTGTAATTTATTAATAAATATTATCTTTAAATATCACGCATTTTTGCATCATTATATATTCCTAAAAAAAAAGAGTTTGATATCCTGAATTCTTAGACATTCTGTATTAACTCCCTTTTGTTAAGAAAACAATCAGCTGAACATTTGAGTTGATATTCAAGTACATTAGGGGATGACCATTTGATTTTCTTGGAGGAGGACCTGGCCTGGCAAGAAATGAACATAAATAACTTTGAACAAGACACTCAGGCTGAAAATGAATGTTCTTCGATCCAGAAAAATCCTCCTGCCCCCTAACCGCCACCCAAAGAATATCAAATAGTCGTCCCCTTATTATAAATTCTGTTTAATTGTTGCTTTCAATTTCAGATTATTTTGTTGTGTAAACAATGTTTCTTGGGTCATCTCTAGTTGCCCTTTGCGCCAACGCATCACTTCTTAACTTCCTGTCAACACAATTACCAGACCAAAAAGACCCGGATGGTATATTTGATCAACCTTTCAAAAAATACTACGACTATATCGTTGGTTTGTATTTTCAATATGTATAATTTAAGGTTCTGGCAATATTATATAATAAATGTCTTTTTATGAGGTAAATATATGGTTTTAATGACTTTTTAAGAAGAAGAAAAACTGTCGATTACTGAGGCGAACGACCAAAGTAAATACCGTAAAAAAAAATTAAACCACATATTTATCGATAAAAAGACAATAATTGTTTTATTTTATATTCCGAGAAAAAATGTTTTAAGGACAACATACCAAAACCAATGTTACATCAAACATTTAATCATAATAGCAACGTTTAGTGCAACGAATATCAATTGTTAACCTTAGTTTTCTTTGGGTTGCACGTGATGTTATGCCGATGAATATTAATTTTATCATTTTCTTCAGATTGCACTTTACGTTTTGAGACTAGCTATAGAGAGTCCGTGTGTTAACAATTTTTAGGTGATTTAGTACATCTAAATAACTTTTAGTTGCACGTGATGTACATCTAAATAACTTTTGGTTGTTTTATAATGCATGATATAATACTTCAATATTTTTCTTTTTGTCTGCATTTGAAAGCGAAAGAGAAAAAAAGTTCGGATTTGATATTTTACAAGCAAATACACTCTGTAGATTAACTTCGCTTTAGAGAAAGATAAACACTTTTATGGTCATGAGAATATAAACAACCATTTTTTTTAAGATGCAGATTTTCACCACAATTTGATAAGGTGGAAAGTAATTTATTAAGTAAAAATCTACGGAAAACTTTGTCAACGCATTTTCAATACATTTTTGTCACTTTACAGTTGGCTCCGGATCTGCAGGAGGTATAATCGCAACCAGATTGTCCGATGATCCTGTCAGAGTTTTATTGCTAGAAGCTGGTGGGTCAAATCTAGACAATGAATATACCAGAATACCATTGCCATGGAAACGAGCACTGAAATCAAAAGAAAATTGGGGATTTTATACAGTCCCGCAAAAATATTCATCTTTTGCTACTAAAAATAAGGTAAGTGTTAAGAAAGTAGCTATCAAACAAAGCAATGAAAGTTATTATTATACCATAGCATATTTTTGTTTTATATAAAAAAATGAGATAGGTGTGCTCTTTTATTCCACAATACTTGTACAGAATATTTGCCAGTCAAAAGTTTCAAAGACTATCTGTTTTATTAATTTGCAATCATATTTCGTTGACTCTTTATACAGTAACAGTTACTTATTTTTCGTTAGACAAAACTGATGTCACTGGCTTTCACTATAAGGAACTAATGAATTACACATCAGGAGCAAAATTTGATAAAAAGATGAAAAATATACACTAAAAAGACTTTTTTGTAGAGCTAAAGCGTAGCAACAAAAAAAAATGTATGCTATACCTTCGTAGAAATAAAAAAGGTAATTCAGTAGGAATTCTCATGAGACAACTTCCCACAAGAGACCCCAAAAAAAACGAGGATGTAAACAATTATAACCCCTGCACGGCCATCAACAATGAGCATAACCCATATCGTATAGTAAGCACATGACAAAATATGAAACAATTCAAAAGTGAAAACCATCGGCCCGATCTATGCCAAAAATAACAAACAAAAAACAAATAAGGAAGACAGAAACGAACGACTACCACTGAATAACAAGCTCCTGACTTGGGACAGGAACACAAAAAAGAGAGATGTGGTGTGGTTATCAATGAGAAAACTATTCACAAGGGACCAAAGGACAATGTTGTAAACAACTCAGCCTGGTAACGATACGACCTTCACCAATGAGTAAAAATTCATACCGTAATTGGGGCATAATATTTCTTTCACGTAGTTTTTCTTCATTTTAGAAAGCTAAAGCGACGCGTGGTAAAGTATTGGGTGGAACTGGAAGTATAAATGGAATGAACTACGTCAGAGGAAGCCGCCATGATTTTGACCAGTGGAGAAATGAGGGATGTGTAGGATGGGGTTATGACGACGTTCTTCCGTATTTCAAAAAATCAGAAGACATTCAAATACCAGAACTTATAAATTCCTGTAAGTTGAAAATATTTCTTAAAAAAATCCATTCTACGATAGGGAAGACGTAAGGTGTAAATTAATGTATCAACAACAAACGAACTTATAATAATAAAACCAGAAACGGCATCCCGGCCGACATAAACGGTCTTAAACAATTCGATATAAGTCTATATATGTACCGTATATGGAGCTCTAAATGAAAACAATGAAAGTAAAACTTTTATTTATTTCGTACTTTGAAACACTTTTCTGGATTTTAATTCACCAGGCACACTCGAACCTTTTAAAAACATTTGAAAGCCAGTGATGTATACACTCGTTGAAACGTTAGTAGCTATGGGACCAAAGAGGACAACAGCTATAAATGCACGTGCTATCCTTGACAATGTTTCAATAATGCATCGAAAAACAAACGAAAAACATTATTGTAACATTGTCACGGATAGAACGTGTATTCATGGTTGTTGTATCTTGAACAGATATATCATGTTAAGGAGGGGTATTTGCGAAAAATACCAGTCGAGGGGCGAGGGAAATTCATTCTCAAGACTGGTATTTTTCGCAAATACCCCTCAAGAACATGCTATATCTGTTTAATTACACCGAATGTTAACGTACAAAACGCATTGGTGATCGTGACATAAAACGCATTGATGATCGTGACATTACAAGCGTCCAGTCAGATAGAGTATTTTTTGGCAAATACCACGGCAGAGAGGGTAAAAAAGGCATATCCTTTTTGCATATACCCCGGCGCTGTTTAAAAATGAACGATATTCATTTGATAAAAGTAAATTGGTGAAAAATACATTGGCTATCAACCAATCAAAACCCAGGATTCTTACATAAGGTGTAATTATATACGGAAATAAAATATGACATTTGAGTGCATCACGATTGTTGTCAACCAATCAAAATTACGGATTCTAACGAAACATACATGTAATGTAATTATAACCAACTGATTTCAGAATTTAACAGAGACTACTGAATATAAAATGTTTCCATTAATTGCTGAACTCTTTATAAAAGATCTATAACTCTAAAATGTAGAAGAAAAAAAAAAATTCCTGATAGTTGACAGGTTATTGATATTTTACAGAATTAATTTTCTTTCATAAGTCCCAAACCATCTCATTAGAAAGAACCCAGATTTTATAGAAGCTAATTGTCTTTGTTTTCAAGTCTTTTTGAAATAAACGTGTTCTAAGTATTCACTCTATCGTAAGTATTCAGAATTTGGGGCTCCTTTCTTTTTAATAAAACACGTCTCTGGAATGAGCCTCTATTTAAGAATTGAATGCTCTTTTTTGTATATTTATTGGGTTCTAAAAGCGTTGACCGAGGTACATTTTGAATGAAGCGATTCCGTAAAAATGTGCGCACGGTCAACGCTTTTACAACCCTATAAAATTACTAAAATAAGCTTTCAATACTTATAATTACATTTATTTGCTAGGCTAGGATCATGAAACACAATTTCAAGTTTTTCTTTTATTTACCTGTGCACTTTATTGTGGAAGCTCGTGTCAACATGAATGTTACATTTCATTTTGAAATGAAGGTTAATTTCAGAATGACGCGAGATTGCTGTTAGCCAATCAAAATAACGTATTATAATGAAATATACATGTAATGTAATTATCATAATAATTTCCCTAATATATAGTCTATCTGCACTGAGATACCCATTCTCATAATATTCACAGACGAAGTCTTATTATTGCATTTGACCTCTGAAGTCTTATTGATGCATTTGACCTCTGAAATCTTATTAATGTATTTGACCTCTAACTTATTGTTTGTAATCCTAATGGCATACAGAGGGATGTCGAGAGGATTATTAAATAATCAAAATAATATGAATAGTCTCCTTATTTGTCTAACCTTTGACCTAGGCTAGTAGCGACCTTTCCTTGTCCTGTCCTGTCAGTGGGACCCTTACAATGTCCTATCGAAGTGGAAACGTTAGTATATATATTGATCTCTGTGTTTTGAGAATATAATTCACTACACAAATAAAAGAGCATTTTCTACATTCTTTAAGAGGGGTTCGAAGATTATGCAATGAAAAAATATCTGAGCCTATCAAAACTTGCCCAATTATTCCAGTGACAGTCCTAATGTTCCGAGTAATCTGTTGGACGAATAATTTTTCATAACATACACAATTTTTCATTGTATATGTGCATAAATGATGAGAAAAGGGAGGGGGGGGGGTAATTCTTCAAAAAGAAAGTAACCCAACAGCACATTGAAACAAGAAAATACAGCTAGAGGTGATATTAAAGTAAATTATGCCTTTTGTCCTGAATATGCATGACAAATGCTGGAACGTGAACCATGTCTAAATTTGATAACAGTCAACTGATTGAAAAGGCGTAAAGTATACAGAATAACTAAAGGTTGTTTTTTTTTTTTTTGGGGGGGGGGGGGGGGGAGTGGAGGCGGGATTTTACACAAAATCTTAACTGTATACAATAAATGTGACTTTAAACGTTTATTTATTATTGATTTGCACATATTGTAGCTTTTCATGGCAGAGGGGGTCCTTTGGTTATTACGGAAGGCCATACATCGCCAATGGAATTCCTACATAGGTCTGCCGCCATTGAGAAGGGTTTACCAGTTGTTGACTGTAATGGTTTCAACCAGATTGGTAAGCATACAACAAAATAATCAGTGAACCGTGAAATCTAAGGGCAAAACCGTAATTTGGCATATATACTAATTAATTCACATAACAATGTATACGAATTTAAGTTGATTTGACAACAGACTTGAGGTAAACTACCTTCAACCAAAACTGTCAATGTTTGATTCTATTTTGATTTTTCAAAAATATTTATAAGAACAGGGCATAATGAATTTAATAGGACATAATTAGGTATAAGTAAAGAGTTCGTTTGAGACTGAAAGACTGTAAAATAATTGGGAAATTGTTATCTACCAAAGTAACGTTGCATTTTTCAAGTTTGCAGCAAAAAAAATATCGACGAATTCAAAGCTAGCTTAATAACAACATGTTAAACCATTGATTTAAGTGTTAATCTCGTGAAAAAAAGTTCTGGAAGTAAGTTCTCTAATACAAATTATCAGTAAAGCATAACTAATTGTATGTATTTGTAGGATATTGTCCTCTGCAAGCAAATATTAAAGATGGTGAACGTTGTACTTCAGCAAGCTGTTTCCTAAGACCAGTTCTGTCGAGACCCAATTTACAAGTTGTAACCAATAGCCATGTTGCAAGGGTACACCTAGTTACAACATTATTTATACGTTTTAACAATCCTGCGGCGATCTTATTGTATTTTCTTATTTATAAGAAATGTTCTTCACAACATCCGTTAAATGCACTTGAATTTAAAAAAATACCAACATTTCAATATAAAAAATCTTCATTAAATTTTACTACAGCTAGTGATCTGGAATTTCTATTTGTATATTTTTTTCTCTCAAATATGTTGGAGAAGGACCTAAAACACTACTAACTTTCATTAATTTTAACAAACGGGAATATCTGTTATTTATTGTCTTATAATAAATTGATTGATAGTTTAGTCTTAGATACATGATTTCTTTTATTATATAATTAGTTGTTATTGGCTTTTGGTTATCTAGCTGTCCGTAACTGCGAGTACTCTCAGATCTGTACTTTATGTATTTTGTTATTATGGATGTATAAATATCCTGCCACGTCTGGTCTGTATTTTTGTAAGATGTTTTTTCTGCTTTTTATCGATCTGATGAGTTAAACCCTTTTCAGCTAATTTTTATAGTTTGTTCTTATGTTGTGCTGTAACACCACTGTCTAAGGTTAGGAGAGGGTTGAGCGCTCACAAACATGTTTGACCCCGCCATATTCTTTGTGTGCCTATCCCAAGTCAGGAGCCTGTAGTTCAGTGGTTTTCGTTGGTTTATGTCTGTCATACATTTTTTTTGTATTTGTTTTTTTCGTAAATTGTTATGTTATGAATTAGGCCGTTTTTTTCTCAATTGAATAGTTTCATATTTTTCATGTCGTGGCCTTTTATAGCCGACTATACGGTATGAGTTTTCTCATTGTTGAAGGTCGTACGGTTGCCTATAATTACTTACATCCACTTCATTTAAACTTTGGTGGATCGTTATCTTATTGGCAATCATACCACATCTCTGTGATGGCTGAACGATGAGAACTCGGTATGGTTTGTCTTGCCTCTAGTTTATTACCACTCTGCACTAAGCTGCAGATTTAGGAACAAAGTTCTATTTTCTTAAGTTAGAGCTTATCTTTGATATTCTTTTTACCATTTTAAAAGTAAATGACTCTCCAATTTATATACATGGGTTACTATCGCTGCGTTGAAGACCCATTGGTGGTCTTGTGTTGTGTTCTGCTCTTTGGTCGGGTTGTTGTCTCTTTGACACATTCCTCGTTTCCATTCTCAATTCTATGTATAAACCTTTGATTGTCCGAACATTTCATTTAAGTGTTCCTACTTAAGGTTGATTAATGAATTAACATTATTGGCAATAAATTATGTATAGATATTAACTTTGATATACAACCAAGGTATCGATTTCATTGCTGATTGAGTGTAAAACCCTTCTGGTGTAAACTGTCCAGTAGCCATTGCTTTAATGATTATCACATACAGTTTAAGAGAGTCTAGCTTGATATTCTTTTTAAAGAAAAATAAACATCCAAACTCCTTCGAATAAAGATGATTTAAGTAGGTTTTGTTAATCCGTTTCGACCAATTATAAATAATTTGCTCTTCATGGGCGTAGTCATCTTAAGTTTTCCAAACTGCGGCTTTGAGCTCACCTAATGGATGAACCAGAAAAAAATGAACGTAGAAATTCAGTATTTCTCTGTTGAGGACTATTATCAATCTTATTTTGTTAAATGAAAACATTAACAGTAAATTAATTTCATTTAAAAGAATATATCAACACCGCAAAATTGTATATTTTATTGAATACTTATGTTGTAAAATGGTCAACGTGCAACAATCTTTTGTAGGTTATTATACGAAATGGTACGGCCAGAGGTGTCACAGTGATGAAGAATGGGAGAACGACAAGAGTCTATGCCAAGGAGGAAGTCATTCTGTCGGCAGGGGTGTTTGGTTCTCCTCAAATTTTGTTGTTGTCTGGTATAGGACCAAGAGCTCATCTGCAAAAAATTAGGGTAAACATTATTCATACTTAAAAAAAAAACAGCGGACTTTGTGCGCTAGACTTTAGAAAATGTTAAATAACGAGGTGAATGTGCCAAAAATATAAAAAAGCATCATTTTTTATTAATGTCTAAAGAAGCTTGAACCGTTATGAGTAGGGTATAAAGATCATTTTTTGATGCCAATATTTGAATATTGTAAGCGTTGTTCCATAAATACAGGAAATACCAGATAATCTATAATTTAGGAAAAGAAAATATAAAAAGCATAATTTACTTTGTTGTGACGTCACAAATTATGTAATTGTAAACTATGATTGAGTACAGAGTGTTCATTAAAAACTACTATTTTGTTTGGTATTATTGACAAACAAAGTATTTCAGCACATCTTATCACTTTTAATAAAAAAAATTCTGAAAGAACTGTAAAACTAACTTGAATGAGGAAATAAAAGACATCAAATAATTTGGAAAGAAGAGTAAAAATGGACGCTACTATAGGAAGTTAGATTACGTAGACACAGCTATTGACATTCGGTTTATGATAGCAAATATTTCTATTTTAAAGGTCCCACTGAAGGTAGATCTACCAGTAGGTGAGGGAATGCAAGATCACATGCAGTATTATTTCCAGTATTCTACAAACACAAGTCTTAACATGAATCAGGAAAAAGCTTTAGATCAACGAGACGTCATGGAATATGTATTTTACAAAAAAGGTAATTTTATACTGTACTATAAACTGTTGATTTATTTGTTATAAAAAATAATATACAATTACTGCCAACGGCCGAAGTGAATATCAGTTTTTCAAAAGTTAATTAAACCACGTATTTTCCGAAACAAAAGACAGTAATTGTTTAATTCCGTATTGTGGTCACAATTTATATTTCTCTCTTTCACATTTCTTTCATATGAAATTTTGATGAGCAGGTGAGCAGGTAAATAACAAATATTGGTCATAATAATTAATACAATTTAAATTTTGATCCATATGTGCATGTTTTGAATGAGACGTACAGTTTTGAAAAAGAATTAACAGGAAGGTAGTCATAGGGTAACTATCATTAGCATTTGATTTGCCAGAAGTTCACCGCAAACTATATAAGGCTTAGAAAATTTGCCGGAAGTTCACCACAAAAATTGCCAGAAGTTCGCCACAAACTATATAAGGCTATCAAAGTTCGCCAGTGGTTCACCACAAATAGTCGCCAGAAGTTCACTACAAACTATATAATGCTATCAAACTTTGCGGCAAGTCTGCTGCAACCCTTTATTTGCATGGTAAAAAGTCGCGGTGAATAGCCGCAAACTATTTGCAGCAACCTTACCGCTGTGTTTGCGGCAGATCTGCCGCAACAGTTCGCCAGAAGGCTAATTTTTCAGTAAGGGTGACTACTAGGCTTACTTGACTGCTTATATGTCAGACAAAAATATAAACATTATGTCATATGAAATCACAAATTTCCTTTTAAAGTATTTAAATTATTAAATTTTATTTAGGTGTTCAAACACGCCCTGGCAATGATGGAACAATTTTCGCTCATTTACCTGATAATGAAAATGACCATTCCTATCCTGATTTACAGCTAAGTTTTAAAGCATTTGCCAATGAGAAGGACCCAATTAAATGTGCTGTTGACAGGATGAATAAAAGGGTATGTTAATTTCAGACGTTGCGTTTCTACTAATTCATTATTATCAAAAATATCAAAAAGGATATACAACATATATTTTGACAAACGTCAGATATCCATTCATATAACATTAATGATATGAAACTAGATAAATAGCAGAAGATACCATGGGGACATTAAAAAATCATAACACTATACAGAAAACCTAAGACTAGGTAACTCGAATCCATCAAAAAACATGGCTGATCACAGGTGCTCCGGAAGGGTAGACAGATCCTTCTACACTGCTTCGAAGAAAAGGAGACGGAATTGTGGTTACGAAAATTTGAACCTATTCGTAAGATATAAAATTAATATATATTCGCTAATTTTTAAAAGTACATTTTGTATTAGGAACTTGTTTGATAAACAATACCGCGATTGGATGCGAAACTGTTCTACTTGGTCAAGAGCGAGTGTAAAGTGTAACGTTGAACCAATGTTTTTGATATAAAAATAAAAAAAATAAAAAAATAAATGTAAGATTGGCTTACATGTTGATTGCAGTATTCATCGAAAGGACAACAATAAATAAAATAAATATCTGCAAGGTAATAAAAAGCTATGAATGTTCGCTGTTTTTTTTTTCAAAATAACAAGCTATTCAAAAGACTGCTATAAATTGATAGTATACAAGTAACAGAACTAAAAAAGCAGAAAAAAATTAAAGGTCCGTGTACTTGGTTTTTAGGCAAAAGCCATTGAAAATTTGGCGGCAAATGATTCTCTCTAGATTTTTCATATATTTAACATTGGTACATTTTTTCTTTCATAAACTAAAAATAAATAACAAGGATTTTATAAAATTTTCAAAAATGGCTTTTTAAACTATATGCAGTAAAATTATGAAAAGAAAAGTAGATGTTATCGGGCAAAATTTTTAATGGCACTACATGGAAAAAACCAGTCTGACAAAAAATAAGATACGCAAACATCCTTGAAATACGAAATTTTGTTGTGGTTAAAAAAAAATCTTATTTCAAATTTGTTTAGATAAATTATAAATATTTGCCAAAATCTTTAAATCACGGATTTTACCCCCACTTTGATAAAACAAAAAAGGATAAAGGAATCAAAACAAATATTCGACAGTACAGCAGACAACACCAACCATAAACATCCGAATAATAATAAAAGACGTACAAACAAAGACAAACAACAACGGACAATTCATGGTCCAGATAGCCCGACTTGGCACAATGTGGTGGGCTGAAATAAGTTTAAGATGCCTTCATCCCCCCCTTTACCTATCTAGGCTATATGTCGTAAATCTAAAACACAATAAAAGAAACTGCACAGTGTAGATACTAACAGGTACTAGAATATAAAAAAAACACCTAAGTTTGAAAGCTCTGATATGCTGTATATCATATTTGTATTTAGTTCATTTTTTGTACTTAAATAAGGCCGTTAGTTTTCTCGTTTGAATTCTTTTACATTTTTTATTTCGAGGCCTTTAATAGCTGACTATGCGGTATGGGTTTTGCTCATTGTTGGAGACCCTACGGTGACCTATTGTTGTTAACTTTTATGTCATTTGGTCTCTGGTTGACTGTATATCTGTTGGTTTTGTACTGCCGCTCAAGGAAGAAGAAAAAACAATTCAGAAACAACACCACTAACAGGTTTCATTACTAGTTAGTCTCATCGCTTATTGAAATCAAATCGAGAGTATTTGTGAGAGGCCTATAAGTATTTAAAATCGTCAGACTCTCGGAATCTATACTATTAATCGAGAAGACCTCATTTTGTGTGTCGCTTCTCTTCCTTCCCCAATAAATTAATCACCATGCCTCTGTGTCCTATAGGTACCATGCATAGTCGCATTTGTCATCCATTCTTATGATTATTCAGAAATAATATGGAGAAGAAACTTGGAAATGATAGTTAAGAGCAAACACACTTTATTTATATTATATGTATGTTCATAGTATACAGAAACGCGAAAATTATGGAACTTAACAGAGAGCAATAAAATAACTGACTTTGGAAAAAAGGAAGAGGGCTTAAAATAATTGTCCTGTCTCCAAGTGCCTATGACTCAGTTTGATACCTTTTATGAAATTCTCCAGACATAAAATCTTTTACAAAAATTCATCCTACAACAGTTTACATACTTTCAACCAAGCTCTAAATACCCGCGATTTCGCGGGTGTGTTCTAGTAAAGAATAATTTTAACTGAGTTTGTGATTTATTGCGCTTGTAGCCTTTGCTTTTTAAGGTGTAAGAATCTTCTATAGATAACATACATTTATATCATGTTTATCTGTTTAATTCTATTTACGAAAGTACAATATAAGGTATGGTGAGAAAAAGTCTAAGTTTCAAACAGTAAAATTTATCAATAAGAATCTGAAATTGAAAATATCTACGTTTTTGTAAATTTCAAATAATTGTGGAAACTATAACAATGAATAAATAATGTTTGTATTATTGCAAGTTAATGATCACCAAGAACATAATCTAGCAGACCATGCAAGTTGTGCTACGTACAGGGCATGGGAAGTATCGCATTCTAATGAGGGAAATATTTGGTAGCAAAGTTGAAATCTTCTATTTTGTCTTACATTTTAGTTTCAATTTTTTAAATACATGTATCTAAAACAAATGGAAGATATCGACTGAAATTATTTTTTTTTAAAGTTATTTCTGTTATATATTGCACTTTAGCACGCCCTTATACGGCGTTTTGCATTTGCGCCGATCTGCATTTCATTTGCGCCGATTTTTTTTTTCATTTGCGCCGATTTTTTTCATTTGCGCCGATTTTTTTACAGATAAATTACAAATTAATTACAGGTGAATGTTATTTTTCATTTATCATTTTAGACCTCTTCCGTTCGCCAGTTGTACAAATGTTATGAATTGTCAATTATAACATGTATATAACTATTGTCCTCTGCTCACCACGGGGAGGTGGAAGTAGGATTTTGAGCAGGATAAGTCAATCTAAAAGCACTATGTTCACATACTTTAAAATCAAGCAGAAAAAACCTAAGATAAAAGCACTCTGTTTTTATAGGCAACACATCTAATATATTCCTTTCTTGTGATTTCGTCTCTATATTTTTCGTAATTGTCAATAACGAAGTCCATCTTTTCTTTCTCTGTCCAACGTACTGATGAGAGCATTTCTAGAGTTCGCATTTTAACATACGTAACGGCCTGGATTTTCTTAACTTAAACATAAGTGAACAACGTTTATAACTAAATTTTATCAATATACATTCAAGGTATAGCACATGTACAAATATTTACTCACCTGTGTTAAACTGTAAATGCAATTAGGAGCAAATATAAAATCGGCGCAAATGAAAAAATGAAAATTTTAAAAATCGGCGCAAATGTCATACGCCCGTTTAATACACTCTGAACATTCAACAGTAAGTATATCATCAAGGTATCTGCTATTTGTGTTGACCAATGTCTATTAATTTGTTAGAATTTTTTTTATTTTACTTATCTTTTTGATGAAAGAAGATTCATAACAATTTAGAAAAAGTATCTGCAATTAGAGGTGCCCATGGAGTTTTCTATCATATTACTTACTATATAAAACTTCCAATAATGAACAAAAATGGTGTCAAGCAAAAAATGAAAAGCCTTAACTATCTCAGTGATTGTTTTTATACATCACTACCGTCTATTATTACAACAAATGAATTCGACATTTGCTTTTTCAAAGATACGATGAATTAGTCTACCAAGTTTATTAAATCACATTATGTCAAACAGTAGTTTTTAGGTGTTTTGTGTAAATTAGGTTACCAGTACATATTAGGGGCATTGTGATTTTGACTTTAGCGTGAAAATGTTCAGTTTGAAGAACAAAAGTTGTTTTCTAATAATCACCCATAATTGCGTTGCGTCTTCGTAATTACGTTTCAAAGAGTATTGTAAATACCCGGAACATATATCAAAGGACCCATTATACCTTTTAATTTTTATCAAGTTTGAAAGATTTTTTTAAAAAGAATTTCGTGAAAAATTACATGAGGGGAAATAACTCTAGCTCTTTCTTCGAATCTGCAATGCGCTAAATGTGGTCTGTTACAAGAGATGAGTCATTTTGTTAAACAATATTTAAATATCATTCCCTTTAATAGTCAATTACTAATCCAGGGCATTACTTGGACTGGAAATCATAAAGCGCTGGTATATTTCAGGGGGAGTTTGCAGAACAAAACAGAACTGCTTCTATTGGATTTGCTGTGCTTATCTGCAAATTGCATCATAAAAGTAGAGGAACGTTACGTTTAAAAAGTAAGAATCCACTGGCACCACCACGTATAGACCCTAATTATTTGTCTCATCAGGATGATGTTGATTCATATATGAAAAGTAAGTAATTTAATAAGTTGTATAATACTACTAATAATTGTTGAAGACAGTAGGATTACTGATTCAATGATAGCCTGTAATTACTTGTTCAGTTAAATGAATCTTGGTTATTTGTGTAATTAGTTTGCTGTCTTGTCTTTGTTTTTTGCTTTTATAGTTTTTGCAATCACTTGGCGTATGTCGTCTGTTGTCGGTGTCGTCCGTTACTTTTACAAACATCATCTCCTCTGAAAGCACTTGACCAATTTAAACCAAACCTGGCCACAATCATCAATATGGTATCCATTTTAAAAAGTGTATCCGATGACCCCGCCTGCCAACAAACATTGCCGACATGGATAAAAATATAACATAGGGGTAAAATGCAATTTTTGTCTATTATCTTGAAAACCGCTATAGACCGTGAGAGAAAATCTGACAGGTGCTAAAATGTTTAGAATAATGAGATCTACCTTATAACTATTGACAGCAAAACTGTCAGACGACTTTTTCTAGGTGTTATTGCCCTTAGTCCAAAAAAAAATATATGAATGATTACGGTTACCCGACCGACCCTACTGTTGAGCGCCGACCCTAAGTCATTTTATTTCCGTAGTAAAGTGAAAAATAAACTGAACTCGTGTCAAAAGCGAAGTTCGTGTTGCAAATAATATAAATCAATTGCCTGATACATCCCAATGTTCACAATCGTGAATATGGCAGCTGTTTTAAGGAAATTCACAACTCGTGTGATGAAATAAACACTTTGCCGCCATTTTTTTTCCAACCAATTACCAAGGGAAATAATTCAATCATTAAAAATACAGGTAATTCGGCCCATGATTAACTCGGACCACGACAAGACGAAACGGCATGACTCAAAATCATGTCACAAACAATAAAATAAAATGGAAATACCGACCTACCTATCCTATTTTTTTAAAGTATGTAACCTTAAACAGACATATATTTTTTTTTGGCCTTAAACGACAAATTTTACCATTTTTTTCATTTTTGCCTAATATCTCGAAAATTATAAAAGATAGGCAGAAACTTTAAACTGCATAAATGATCAGCAAGACAAGATCTATTAAAAATTTAAATAATCCAAATAGTCAGTCGATACCTTATTGAAGTTATTGCCCTTTAATGACCATTTTACCCAATTTTCGCATTTTTGCCTTTTATCTTGAAAACTATAATAGATAGATAGTAACTTTAAATAGCAAAAATGAGCAGCAAAACAAGATCTACAAATACGTCAACATGATCCAAATCGTCAGTTGACACCTGATTTTTTTTTGCGTTTTTGAAGTTCTTGCCCTTTAATGACCATTTTTTCCACTTTTTGCATTTTTGACATTTATCTTATTAAAACCTAAATATATAGATAGAAACTTTTAGAAGGAAAATGGTTAACAGGATAAGATCTATAAATTCGTCAACATGACTAAAATTGTAAGTTAACTCTTAATAGAGTTATTCCCATATAATGATGATTTTTACTATAATGTGGCCATTGTTGAAAATGTAGGTGAGCAACACGGGCTCTTTAGAGGTAGTTTTCGCTTTACGATATAAAAATAAGGAGATGTGGTATGATTGCCAATGAAACAACTATCCACCAAAGTTCAAATGAAGTGGATGTAATCAATTATAGGTAACAGTACGGTCTTCGACAATGAGAAAAACCAATACCGTAAAGTCGGCTATAAAAGGCCCCGACATAAAAAATATGAAACAATTCAATTCAGAAAACTAACGGCCTAATTTATAACAAAACAATTTACGAAAAACGAATATGACATACATGAACCAACGACAACCACTGAACTACAGGCTCCTGACTTTGGACAGCACATACAGAATGTGGCGGGGTTAAACATGTTTGTGAGCGCTCATCCCTCCTCCTAACCTCGGACAGTGGTGTTACAGCACAACATAAGAACAAACTATAAAAATCGGTTGAAAATGTCTTAACTCATCAGATCGATACAAAGCAGAAAAACATCTTACAAAAACACAGACCGGACGTGGCAGGGTATTTATCACTCCCTCATCCTTTACAACAAAAGACACTAAGTACAGATCTGAGAGTACTCGCAGTTACTGACAGCTAGTTCAAAGCCAATTACAACTAATAAAAAAATCATGTATCTAAGACTAAATATCAATCAGTACACATTCAACATCCAATGGATTTAGTGTAAAAAATACGTCATTAACAGTCAGAAAAAAACATGACCTTTTGCAATGCCAAAATAAAGGTATCGACAGATTGTAGTACCGTTAAAGTGCATATGTGTATAACAATACTATTTAGTATGGTTTTAGTTTACTGATAACATAATCAATATTTATACCAATAAAACAATATACAAAGATTTAATTACAGTGTTGAATTGGTAACCTTTTAAAATAAGTTTATTTAAAGGATTGATAAGTTTACACGGATCGTATATGAATTTCTGGGCTCGGTAAACAACATCACTGTAAAATTTAGGATGTGCTATACCGTCTGAAATTTAGTTTTTTAAGAAACAACTTTAATCTTTTTCTCAATTTTCACATTGTTTGATTGGAATCTTTATGAGCACGCTGACAAAAAAGTATTAACAAAAATACCGAACTCCAAGGTAATTTAAAAAAAAAGTCCATAAACCTGACACAATCAAATGTTAGACTATATCAATCAATATATCAATCAACGGACCGAATGGAAAACAACTGTCATATCCCTGACTTGGTACAGGTAAATTCTTGAAAATATATACTTTTTAATATTTTTTGTTTTGGGTTTCCCTTAGTAAATTCTTAAGAAGGCGATAATATTATCATATATACCTATATCTTTTGAATTGCATTTTTTACTGTATTGCAACTATTCGATACTAAAATTTTGAAATAATAGGGATTGATATACAAACCTACATCTTTCTAGCGACAATTTATTGGAACCATCCGATAATATTAGTTTTTGTGCGTTTGCTTCAGTTTTGAGATTCGTACAACATTTAGCAAATAATACGGCTTGGGAAAGCATTGGAACAACATTTGTAAGACAGGAAGAGTGTACTAGCCATTGCAAAAATTTGACCTTTGACACGGATGATTATTGGAGATGCATGGTTCGTCACTATGCAGTTGAATCTAATCACCAAGTAAGCACGTGCAGAATGGGTGCAGCTAACGACCCTACCGCAGTCGTTGATCCCTATTTGAGGTAAGCGCATTTTATTTTACCATTTTCAGTATCATTAATGTAACTTACAAATGAACGCTAATGTATGGCAGCAACAGTGTATCCTTCTGGACTTCAAGGTTAATTTTTGGTATTTTGTTATATTGTCGCTTTCTGGAAAAGGTGGTATGTAGTGATGGAAGTGTTCGTCCGTTCGTCTGTACCTCACCCATTCTTTTGGTCCTATCTAATTGCTACATCCGAATGATTTTTGGGTTTGCTTTGGCTTGAAATATCCGAACATGTCCTCTACAGTCATGACAGTACATATAATTATCAGCTTCACAGCCGTAACCCCTAATCAGAATTTCATGAAAAATTCTAAATATTTTTGCTATATAATGCCTTGTGCACCTTCTGTTTTTTTTATCCAATTTATTTTTGGTTTTCCTCAGCAAATCGTGGCATTTGCTTTTGTTTTATTTTGGGATATATCGGGTTCCTCCTAAAACCCTTATTAGAATTTAGCTTAACTTTTTATCAGAAACTGAACCATATTATGCTATTGTGTACCTTTTATTTTTTTATTTATTTTGACTCATTACTAATATTTTTTTTGTTTTGGTTGTTTTTGTTTTGTTTTGGGTTCGTGTTGCTCAGTCTTTGGTTGTCTATGTTGTTTTGTGTACTGTTGTTTGTCTTGTTGTTTTTCAGCCATGGCATTGTCAGTTTATTTTCGACTTATGAGTTTGAATGTTCCTTTGGAATCCTTCGCCTCTTTTTTAATATTTTTTTGTTTTGGGTTGCCCTTAGTAAATCATTGCCTTTGCCTTTATGTTATGTTGGGGCGGGATAACATTTTGTTATATTTATGATAATTAAGGTTCAATTTGATTTCTTTGATAGAGGGTCGCTACCTTCCAGGAAATTATTAAGCTTAAGGATTCCTATTGTTAACGTGGAAGGCTACCCTTCGACATTTTACGGATTCCATCGTGATTTGCTTGCCCATTTGAAATATCTGTGTTACAGATGACCACGGATGTGTTCCCATTGCCTTAGCCACAATCCCGTCTTTTTTTCTTCGATTATGATATCACCGATTGCAACATAGCTTCGAATATTTACTGGTTATGAGCAACACCATGGCCGTCTCTAGTGGAACAGGATCCGGAGCACCTGATATCACCTACGGTTTCTGGTTGGGTCTTTTGCTTAGTTTTCTGTATAGTTTTGACTACTATTCATCTTTTCGTTGTTTTTTCTCCTTTTTTGTATATCTTCTTTTTTTTTCGTGCTTATGATTTTTTCTAAAGGGGTATCTTCTTTTTACGCTCTTTCTATGTAAGTGTTTTTTTTATTAAAACAAAGTGGAATTTAGGTATTGTGCAAAAACATAATGATTAAAAATACCAGTTAAGGAAATCCGAAGCATACAAGTTTTCATAGATTTTTTTTTATGTATGAAGCATGTATAAGGAGAAATAAGATACACATTAACGAGACATAAACATAAAAATAAAACGATGATGTATTATTGCCAATGATACTTGAATATGAACAGTAGGATAAGACGTATTCTTGCCAATGATACTTTAGTATGAACAGTAGGATAAGAAGTATTCTTGCCAATGATACTTTAGTATGAACAGTAGGATAAGAAGTATTCTTGCCAATGATACTTTAGTATGAACAGTAGGATAAGAAGTATTCTTGCCAATGATACTTTAGTATGAACAGTAGGATAAGAAGTATTCTTGCCAATGATACTTTAGTATGAACAGTAGGATAAGAAGTATTCTTGCCGATGATACTTTAGTATGAACAGTAGGATAATAAATATTCTTGCCAATGAGACAACTATCCAACAAAGACCAAAGGACTGGATTTTCAGTCTATTTTAGTTACGTTTTACGCTTACATCTTATATATCCAGTGAAAGTAAAATTAAATGTACTACCGAAACTAGAAAGTCTGCTTCGTATATTTTTCCTCGATACTGATACATGTACAGATGGGCGACTTCTAACTAGAATCTATGACTCACGTAAATGACTTCAACTTTCAATTCCGCAGCAGTATACCCTCTGTTTGATATAATATGGCGTTTACATATCTCAATTAATACTGTACTTACGGAAAACATAAATAGGGGTGTGGTCCTTACACAAAATCTGCTCCAACAGCTTTATACAGTAGAAAGAGTGAAATCGACATTTCCAAATTTCACGGTCAACATCTCAAATTGGTTGCGTATATGATTTGTCTGTGTCTCAACTCAGTAGCGACATGTTTTCGCGGTCTAAAATCTGTAGATACGAGAATAGTCGTCTGATCTGTAAATTGTGTCCTATTCCCGATTGTGACCTCAGACTGAGCATGGCGGGTGAAGCATGCATGGCAGGAGACTCTGGTGACACACCCTGTCCTTTTGGAATTTGATTTTTTTGGTTTGAACTTCATTTATATTTCCCTAAAAGATTTTGATATTTCAACATTGGTAAACCACTGTTGCTTCATATTTACTTGTATCAAGTCTGACAAACTATGTTTAGCTTACTGTGTTGTTTGAAAGATCTGACAAACGCTTTACGAAACTTCTTTCAAAGTTAACGACATATATTCTATCAGCAATCTTATGTGGGCTTCAATTGCTGTGAAAACTACGGGTCAATGTGAATTAAATGTGGACGAGTTCATTTAACTATTTTAATAAATAATGATGTATATAAAGAATTATTGAAACTTTTTATGTCCTTCACAAATTTTTTAAAACAAAATTAATACAAATCAATCAACCAATCGATTCTTTGTTAAACTACCTCTAAATCAAGGATCTTAATAACGATTTGAACGACGAATTCAAGGAACTTTTTTTTGCTTTTTATGTTTGGGTTTATGGAAAGTAGTAGAGAGGCGAAAGATACCGAAGGTACATTCAAACTCATAAGTCGAAAATAAACTGACAACGCCATGACTAAAAAAGAAAAAGACAAACAGACAAACAATAGTACACAAAACACAACATAGAAAACAAACTAAATACTGAGCAACACGAATCCCATCAAAAACTGGGGTTGATCTCAGGTGCTCCGGAAGGGTAAGCAGATAGATTTCATCAAAAGTATTCCCATTATATTTGTTGATCAACAATATTCCGGCTTAAAACGAGTTCTTTTACTTCCAGGGTGAAAGGAATCAAGAGATTGCGAGTTGCAGATTCCTCGGTAATGAGAAGTATACCGTCTGCCAATACAAATGCTGCAACAATGATGATTGGAGAAAAAGCTGCCGACATGATAAAAATGAGCCGACGCTTAAAGTATAAAACAAAAAATGGAAAAGTTATTGTTTTATGATTAATATATTAATATTCTATCACATATGTTCGTCGACAGGGTCATGTATTTTTAGAATAGAAACAAACTTACGACAGGGTGATTCAGATTCTATATTAATTTGTATCACCAAAACTCTGAACGTTTTATGTGTTTAAATGTATGTACTGGTAATATTAAAAGTGTGTGAAGTATATTAATAATATTTCTAATGTTTAAGAAAGATATATACTATTTAGCATGTGTTGTGATAATAAAATAGAATATGGCAAGACACATTATTATTGTTTATCTAATTTATATTTTGTATGAGATGATACTGCTTTATACAAGAATAATTAGAAGACATCAATTTGTTTATTTCATAGTTTTGGTTGACCTTTAAGTGCATTTCACAAAATAGTTTACTTTACCAAAACCAATTGCAACACTTGAGACGATATGACATGTGAGATCATCTGATTTGTATTCAAATCCATAACAGTCAACATTTGTGCAAATCAAAGCACAATCAATGAATGACATCGCATCCGCTGTGTGTGTAACTTTATGTAAAAACTCATGTTCTTGTTGTTCATAGGATTCGTTGATGATGAAGTCTTCAACTGCAAAAAAGTTATAATAAATTACAAAGCATACACAGGTCCAATAGCTACAGACGTATTACGGACGTTGTAAAATACGTCTGTAATTAAACATCCGTATCATGGACATTTTATGGACGTATAATATTAGAGGTTTCACTTTTTGCTAAGTAACAAGTTCTGTTGGTACGTAACTGAACCGTTGGTGTTATTTTGGAGATATCATTAAATGCATGAGATTATTTTATTCATAATAATCAAATAGGAGAAATCGAATTGCATATCAGCAAAACATAACATATCTTTTTTATTTAATTTCACCTATTTCTATAAAACTTTGTTTGTTATTCTGTATGAAATTATTTAGTTAGTGTCAAGTGCGTGAATAACACGTATCTTAGTACATGAACTGAGTTGACTCAGCCCTTTAGATTATGACATGAAAAATATAAAACAATTCAATTAAGAAAACTAACGGCCTAATGTATAACGAAACAATATACGAAAATCAAATATGACAGACATGAACTAACGACAAGACTGAACTACAGGCTCCTGGCTTAGGACAGGAACATAAGTATTGTGGCAGGGTTAAACATGTTTGAAGGTGCCAACTCTCCCCCTAAACTGGGACAGTGGTGTAACATTACAACATAAGAATAAACTATAAAAATCAGTTGAAAAGAGTTTAACTCATCAGATCGATACAAAGCAGAAAAACATCTAACAAAAACACAGACCGGACGTGGACGGATAGTCCTTTTTTTGCTCACCTGGCCAAAAAGCCAACTTATGAGCTTTTCCAATCATTGTCAACTTTTACAAAATAATTTTTTTCCCTCTGAAACTAATAAGCGAAATTTTTTTCGCATATTATCTTGAAAAATAAAATAGACAGATTGAATCTTTATAAGCAAAAATGATCAGCAGGACAAGATCTACAAATAAGTCAAATGGAAATGGCCAAAATGGTCAGTCGACTCCTTATTGCGTTATTGCTCTTTAATGACAATGTTTACCAATGTTTTTCATGTTTGCCAATTATCTTGAAAACTATAAAAGATAACAACTTAAGAAAACAAATGATCAGCATGACAAGATCTTTCAATAAATAAAATTACTGAAATCAGCATCTTGAAACCTATTAAACAGTGATAGAAGTTCAAATGGCAAATATGATCAACAAGACAAGATCTGATAATAGGTAAGCATAGATGAAATTGTCAGTAGTCTTCTTATTGCTATTAAATAACGGTTGCTTATCCTTCATGTGTTTTGGGGAAAATAACTATAGAAAATGACGCAAACCGAAGAAATGATCAGTAAAAAAAAGTCAACAAAAAAGAGATTTTAGTCAAGAATTATATTCTTGTCTACAATGTTCGAGACTGTCCATTCTGTCCAATTTACATAAACCTGTGTGAGCTACACAAGCTTGTTAGAGCCTTCAGTTATCTTTGTAAATCTTCAGACATGAATATTTTTTTAAATTTGATTTTTTTAATGAGGATTCTTTTGCATTGTATCTCTATCTTAGTAGTTACAAACAACGACAATTAATTTCTGGATATTTATCAAGTAATATATCGTTAAATATTTAAATTAAATTTGTATTTCAATGAATGATTCCGTGAGTGACATTGGCATGCTTGGTGGGATCAAAAAAAGTACGTTCCACTGTATATTATGGCTTATATTATGTAAATTTACAAAGAAAAACTAGCCAGTAACTTTTGCATTTATTGACCCAAAATTGTGGCAAAATTATGCGAGTTCTTATTACATTAAGACAATCATAAAACCAGATCCCTTATATAAACTATAAACTGTCATTTGTTTTTCAAGATTTATTGAACTCAAACAGACAATGATACAGTAATAGTTATGATGTAAGGGTGGTTGTTTAACATCCAGTGGCAAATATTACTTGAATATACAGGACAATAACATGGTGGTAATGTGATATAAAATTGAATTCAAACAAACAGGCTGAACCAGGGTTTTAGTGTGCTAGTTCATTGGGTAAAGGTCACTACTCGGACACTTTTTTCAGACTTCGAGCCTCCGGTTTTTGTTCTTACTCCAAAGGCCTCGTCTGAGCGGAGAAGCAGCGAATACTCATTTTCAAGTCTAATTTGAACAGGCCAGAGATGGAACCCAGCAAAAACTTATTTTCAACTCTAATTTGACCAGGTCAGAGATGGAATCCACGTCAACTCACGCATAACCATATTACAGTGACACCGCCATGGAGACGTTTTTATCATTTCGATAAGTACATTGCAATGTTAGCATACATTAAGAAGTCTATCAACTTTACAGCCTTATAATTCATAGTCTCTTAATATGTTTCATAAATAATCATACATTAAATGCATATTTCAAAAGAATTTCATTAATTTTATTGTATTCTCTACATACAAAATGTGCTTCTGTCGACGCTTCTACACCACAATACTCTACTAGAAACTAACTCTTAATTTAACTTCAATGACTAATTATTTCATTAAATATGGTTTAAAAATTTGGTGACGAATACCTCTTTTTTCGAGAGAGTTCTGGTTTGTGAGACAATGTATTAAGTGGAAACGTTTTTGCATAATTTCTTGTATAATTAGCATCTGAAGGAGTGTAATAAACCTTTGGAGTTAAGTTTTCACGACTTAATGACGAACCCCACTAAATCTAGATAAACAATAAAACCAGCTGCAGCAACTAAAACAAGTGAACCTATTACACCAGCGAACCGTGAAACAGGACGATTATCAGCTGCACACCTCAATTTAGCTTTAGCGGTACTAGTACTTTTTGGATTTATTGAAATGGAGGCTTTTAAATCTGTAAGATAATCATTAAGATGTAAATATAATTGTTCCGTTGTTAAATTAAGATCATTTAGATAGTCCCAATGATTTCCACTGTGTGTGCATGAACAGGTACAATTAGTTTGCATATCCGGCAGAATTGTTGTCTCGTCTTCTCCTTCGCAAATAATGGCAGCATTTATACCAATCGTATCATTGATTTCTGAAAGAGAAATAAAATGATTGTTTACTCTCTACAAATTGTAAATTGTATTTTTGATATACATGTAGATATATTACAATGCTTTTAATGCATTTAATGGTTTTCATACTCAAGTGGTGACATGAAAGTTTACAGAGATGTTTATGTGAATCGAAAACTCGCCCATAGTTGATGTAATTAAGATAGGACAATGTAATATAGTTGTACTTAATTTGAAATCTACATACAGCATCGGAAGTAGAAATTTTTATCTATAACGATATATCATGCCCGACGGTTACCAATGACAACAACTGTATTACACAATAAACATAACGAATGTGACGCGGTTTAAATATTTGTAAGGTTACAGCTCTAAGAATAATCGTAGTCAGTTAAATCTTGTTGAATGCCCATTATCTGCTAATAAATAGACCATTGTTCCCATACTATAAAATCTTGTTTTTTATGTACCCATATGTACGTTTTGAAACATAATAATCTGGAAGATAAGGTTGTCACCTACTCTTGCATTTAAGTTCTTATACGCTTATGATATGATATGATGGTGATGAAAAATGATTATCTTTTGTTGGTATTTGACTCGCTTCGCTCGGTGGTATATAATCCGTTTGATGGAATTATTTGATAACATTGTAAAACCATACAAAACTATAAATTATAGTAAAAAAATATTCAGATATAGTTTTATCAATAAGGCTTCGAATCAATGAACACTTTTTATTTGTACGAATTTGATAATCACAAAGTGTAAAGATTATATATATTCTCCTCCGCAGCCTCATTAATACTCATTTACACTTGACATATAATAGAAACAAGATGATAGGCTGGGGACAGCGAATGTCTTCTGAATTTTTATTTTTCATTGGTTTCCAAAATGGCTTTTACCTTATTTCTGAAATTGTTTGTTTTCTTTTTTCAAAACCCAGAATATTAACTTCTTTAAACCAAACAAGGGAGACTGGTTGTTTTTTTTTTTTTTTTTTTTTTTCTTCTTCTTTCTTTTTTCCCTGTGTTTCGATTGTACATTAGTCATTTGTGCGCTTTTTGAAAAAATCAAATACTGTTTAAACTTAACTATATAATATTACATGTATGCCTAGATATCAAAATTCATATTTATAACTTTAGAATGTTTTGTTCTATCTGAATTTTTTCCTAAAGCGTTATATTTTGTTTATATTTATATAAAGTATGATACCGAGTGTCGTATAATAAAATGTGTTTTTTTTCCCAAAAAAAACTGAATGCTTTTAAATAGATAAATAAAAAATTCGGAATTGTCTCTAACATTACGTTTAACACAATATATACCAGTTACATTTGTATATGTATCACAACTTCGGAAGAAGTGTGGGTTCGCTGCTGTGCTAAGTTATGGTGAGAGATAATTTTCCATCGGCTTTACTGTTGTTCATTCAGTTTCATAGATTGTATTTAGTGCATGTGTATGAAATACATTGTGTTTTTGGTTCTACCAAACTTATATTCCTAACTCAATGCTTGAGTTTGTCAGCGATTGTGTACAAAGTAGAGGGAGAAGCAATCAATGCATAGGTAAAAAAAACACCTGAAAATACTATGACAAAGTTGTGAATAATTCGTTATCAATTTTCTAACGTATGCTCTGTTTTGTTGCTAACCATTTATTACTTCATTAAAGGGAAGTTACTCGCACCAAAATGTCATTTGAAACACCATTCAGATTTCAAACGATAATTTTGTAAAATGACTTTTTATTCATTTTTCAATTTGGGATAATTTATATATGTGCTTCATTATAGACATTTTATACATTAATATTCTTAAAGGTTTAGAAAAAAAATACGATACCTGAGTTGAATGTCCATATATCATTATTACCAGATACAGGTTGAATTGCAACAAAATCAATTACCACTTCATTGTATAGCATCTCAGATTTTGTGATGTTATCTCCAATTATGTTGCCTTGTCCAAACGTTATATTGTTATTCCATGAAATCCAAAATGTTCTAAACTCACTACAGCTCAAAATAGAAGGAGTTTCTACTGAAGAATATAAACATCTCGTGAATTGTTCACTAAAACATGTGGTGATGCGAGATACGATCTGATTTTTCTTTGTCCATAATCCAATTATAATTATATATGAGGGTCTAAATGAAGTTGTATTGTCAGTCAAAAGGATTCGTGCATGTTGACATGTCTTTACGGAGAATATCAAGGACGTTTGATTAGTCTGTGTGATTGGTACAGTGTTCAGAATCTGATAGGAACCGATGCTATTGTTCCGTGTACATATGGAGACTTCACTTTCCGGCTCGACACTAGAAACTGAAAAATAAAGCTAAACAGTGTTGGTTCAAAATTCAAAAATTCATTTAAAGGATTTTTCTGAATTATCACAAAACGAATATACTCAAAAAGGGTGAAGGGTTGGTACCATTAAAACGTTTAAACCCGCTGCATTTGTTTGCACCTGTCCTAAGTCAGGAATCTGATGTTCAGTAGTTGTCGTTTGTTGATGTGGTTCATAAGTGTTTCTCGTTTCTCGTTTTTTATATAGATTAGACCATTGGTTTTCCCGTTTGAATGGTTTTACACTATTAATTTTTGGGGCCCTTTATAGCTTGCTGTTCGGTGTGAGCCAAGGCTCCGTGTTGAAGACCGTACTTTGACGTATATTGGTTTACTTTTATAAATTTTGACTTGGATGGAGAGTTGTCTCATTGGCACTCATACCACACCTTATATCTATTTACTGCAGGGTTTGTTGCTCGTGCTATGTGGATGCAGTAGAAGAATGTGTCCCCGTGCTTGTGGTGTATGCCCTTATATTTTTCAATTATGGGTTGTTTGCCTGCGAGAGAGCTTTCACATGTTTATTATAAAGGGTGAAGGTTTGGTACCATTAAAACGTTTAAACCCGCTGCATTTGGTTGCACCTGTCCTAAGTCAGGAATCTGATGTTCAGTAGTTGTCGTTTGTTGATGTGATTCATAAGTGTTTCTCGTTTCTTGTTTTTTATATAGATTAGACCGTTGGTTTTCCCGTTTGAACGGTTTTACACTAGTAATTTTTGGATCCTTTATAGCTTACTGTTCGGTGTGAGCCAAGGCTCCGTGTTGAAGGCCGTACTTTGACCTATAATGGTTTACTCTTATAAATTTTGACTTGGATGGAGAGTTGTCTCATAGGCACTCATACCACATCTTCTTATATCTATCAAAGTACATAGGGCTCATCTTAAAGATGCATCATTACAATAAAAACACTTGTTACATGGATGGTAATTTTTCCTTTGATTTTCGAGTGTGTTAACTTTGGTTATTTTTAGAAGAGTGCGTTAACTGGGTGATTTTTTAGTTATTGCACTCTCCAGTCTCGCCATGTGTCGCTTGTCATAGGATAAGCAAATAATGGGAGGAGCTTAGACCAGTGCTCTAACATCCATCTCAAAAGTTGTTATTTCACTGTCTAGTTCCGCCTCCTTGGCCTAGTAAACTATGAAATCAATGACCATAAAATGTCCTTATAAATGTAAACAAAATGCATACACAACAATATATCAAAACAAATCGCGAAAAGGGGGGCGGGGAAGTGAGCGGGCTTACCCTAACACTAGCCAAACTTGTAAACCTAACCCTAAATTAAAAATGGTTCCCTATACATTGTACTTAAAACAAATGAATGCTCGAGGAGAGCTACAAAAATGAATAACGTGGTCTATAAACGAAGAGGTGATATTGATAAATTGGTGGATATTTGTTTTTATCGTGACAATATAAACATTCCAAAAAATTGTCACTGGAATTTTAGTCGTTTAATTTCCTCCACTTAATGAAAGAATAAAACAAAATGTAATAGAAATGACTATGAATTTTCCTACTGTTATTTTGTTTGGATAGCTGTTTTTATCGTGTCGAAACCACCCAGCCACTAGAATTTTTATTATTATTATTATTGTTATTAATATTTTTGTATTAAGTCATATGGTCATCCAAACAAGGGCACTGAATGCATTTTTCAAGGACACTAGACTAATTTAATATAAATAAGAAGATGTGGTATGAGTGCCAATGAGACAACTATCCATCCAAGTCACAATGTGTACCTTTTAAAGTAAACAGTTATAGGTCAAAGTACAAGTCCGTTAAATACTTAAAGACGTGTCCAATATTTCCTAAAAAGAACATAACTTTAGCTTTATTCCCAACAGACTGATAAATAGACCTAGATTTCATCTGGTTTCTAACCAACGTTTTAGTTCGGTTTCTAAACAACCATTATATGAAGAAATTCTTAAAACTGCACGAAGTAAAAATTTTCTGATCAATTTATTTCAACATACCTGTCAATAATGTACTGCATGCAAAGAAAAACGTTGTAAAATAATGTAACATTCCGCACTATTAAGATTCTATCAGGTTTTTTTTATCTTTTCATTCCATCTATTGAGAATTTATAGTGAGTTTATATCTCTATCTCGTAACAGGTATATCTCTCGTATATATCGTTGTAACAACTACACTTATACCTTAAGATATCTTTGCGCAAATGTATCATAGATGTCGTTGTACTAGTTTTGAATATATCATAGATATCGCCGAACTGGCTATAAATATATCATAGGTATCGTCGAATCGGCTATAAATATATCATATGTATCGTTGTACCAGCTATAAATATATCATAGAGATCGTCGTACCAGCTATAAATATATCATGGCTATCGTCGTTCCAGTCATAAACATAAATTATCATAGATATCGTCGTTCCAGCTATAAATATATCATAGGTATCGTCGTATCAGCTATAAATATATCATAGATATCGCCATACTAACTATAAGTATATTACAGATATCGTAGTACCAGCTATAAATATTATAGATATCGTCGTTCCAGCTATAAATTTATCACAGTTATCGTCGTACCAGATATAAATATATGATATATATCGTCGTACCAACTATACTTATATCCAAAGATATCTTTGTGCAAGCTACAAATGTATCATAAATATTACCGTACCATCTACAAATATATCACAGATATCGTCGTACTAGCTGCATGCATAAATTTATCATAGATATCGTCGTACCAGCTATTTATATATTTATCATTGATATCGTATTTCAAGCTAAATGTAGACATTTATCATAGATATCGTTGAACTAGCTATATGTATCGTAGATATCGTCGTACCAACTACATATGTATCCCAAATGTCGTCGAACCAGCTATATGTATCGTATATATCGTCATACCATCTATATTTTATCGTACATATAATCTTTTATCTTATTAAAAAGGCCGCAATAACTCAAACATTTTTTTTCTTAACGAATATAAAAACAATTTATTCCATGAATCTGGTTGGAATGATAGAAAATCAAATACTACATATCAGCTATAATTGATCCTTCGATAAAATACTTATCCCTCAGGAGTAACCCGTATTTGAATAAAAACATTCAGTCCATTATGGATCTTTGAAGTGTCTACCGTTTTTTTTTTTTTTTTTTATTTTACACTTTTTCAATCAGCAAATATCATCTTATGTCAAAGCCACCAAAGAGCATAGTTCTAAATGAAAAGCATTGATGCATTCATGTAATGTATACAACTCATCATGACACTATCAATTATGTACTAATATATTGCAGTTTTATCCATTGTCATACTCTAAAATTAAATTGAGGTCGATTTACTGATTGACTTATTCATTTAATAAATATAGGCTTCTGTTAATCTGAATAATATATGAAATATAGTCTCTGTGCATATTACAAACAATTCTCAACCTTAAAGCACGAATATAGAAAAAAATATCGATTATATATAACTGCTAATGTAAGTGGACAATACAATTATTGTATTCTGCTTATTGTCGATTGCATAAAATAAATAAAAAATGTGCTGAACATTTTTATTTTGCTCAAAGTTATATCATTATTCTATATTTACAAAGTGTATAAGTTTTCCCTTGATTTCTCATAGAAAAATATAATAAGTATTTTATGCAAATATGGAACTTAAAATCATTCCTTTTAAAGGTTGGAACAGTGCAATGCAATTAAAAGATTGATTTCGTCTTTTGGAGTAATACCACCATTGTTTTCCAAATTAGTCTTGGTTAAATTGGCATTTTTCAAAAAATTGTTTCAAATAAAGAAATGCTTGGCATGAGTACAGCTTTATTCTGTTCAGTGCTACAGTTAAAATTTCACATAACATTTCTTTGCATATATGATAATAACCATCCCCGAAAGTAAACCAATCAAATTTTCACCCCTTTTTTTCCTGTTCACAAGCTTTAAAATGGTTCTTTGAAACACCCAAGATATATGTTTATGACTAAAAAGCTTTTTTTCTGCAATGACATGCAGGGTTAAGTTCCTACAACTGTCAAATTCAAAGGAATATTTTTTTTCGACCCTTTTTCGTATGAAACCGGTTGTGACGTACTATGATTTAGTGGTATTACACCTTTTCAGCTGACAAGAGTTATCGTTTGTGACAATCTTTTTTTATTTTAATCAACTAGGCGAGTTATACCAATCAGAGTTTTAGTTCAATACGTTTTGTTATTTTTCAAAAATTTAAACAATACCTTAAATTTGCCATCATCCTCAAAGTTTTAAATATCTGCAATGTACAATAATCACGAGACAATAAAGATAACAGGAATTATCAAAAACAGGATCACAGACCACAACAACAACCATCACCAGACCACATCAACAAACAACACCAGACCACACCAACAACCATAACCAGACCACATCAACAACCAACACCACACCAGACCAAGAACCATCACCAGACCACACCAACAACCATCACCAGACCACACCAACAACCAACACCAGACCACACCAACAACCAACGCCAGACCACAACAACAACCATCACCAGACCACACCAACAACCAACATCAGACCACACCAACAACCATCACCAGACCACACCAACATCCATCACCAGACCACACCAACAACCATCAACAGACCACCCCAACAACCAACACCAGACCACACCAACAACTATCACCAGACCACACCAACAACCAACACCAGACCACACCAACAACCAACACCAGACCATGCCAACAACCATCACCAGACCACACCAACAACCAACACCTGACCACACCAACAACCAACACCAGACCACACAAACAACCATCACCAGACCACACATACAACCAACACCAGAATTCAAAAAGATAGACATACAAACAAAAACAAATACTAGCAAACAGAACATGGTTCAGATCGCCGATCTTGGTACAGACATAAACTGTTGTAGGGTTTAATTTGACCAGTTTTTCCCGCGCACACACCTTTCTATTTGCCTATCTAGACTATTTGTCCTAAAAGTATAATAGCAAACAATAATAAACCTGGACAGACGTTTTGACAACACTATGTTATATGTCTAGACAACTTAAATCAAATTAACGATGATGAAATGACCGCTGTGGATACCTTAAGCTATGAGGGGCTTCCTGTATAGTAACGAGCACATGTTGTCTCTGCTCATCAAAAGATGTTTTGTCTTTTTATTTCCATGTCATTCTGTTCGTACCAAAAGTATAGAATACATCTTACCAAAAGTATAGGATATATCTTACCAAAAGTATAGAATATATCTTTGGTACATAATAATTATAGACTTAAGTTTAGTATAAAGTTTAAAGCTACTTCTTTTATATGAATGCTAATTAGATTAGAACATAATATTGTATTTTTATATACGGAATTTAATAGTAGTCAAAGTTAATCACTTTCCCTTTCATATTTTTGGGCCAAAAAGTTGGGGATAACCACCCCCCACCCCCCCCCCCCCCCCCCCCCTTCCACTTTCCTTCACTCTTGAAAGTTTTGCGCAATTTCATCGCTTGCCCCCTCTCTCTCTCTCTTTGACCCCCAACAATGGCTCCTACACTCTTGTAGGTTTAACTTAGAGAGTTTAACTTTATAGATTTTTTATGAATGGATACACAGTATCTCTTCTTTTCCATTAAATAAATTTTTAAAAATCGCTTAAATTAATCTGTTCCCTCAATTTGTCTATTGAAATACACCCATAAAAACAAAAAACACACTTGGCAATCAATATCAAGGGTTTTAAAATATGATTGATCCATTGTTGATTTCACAATTGGTTGCACTACAATATTAAATAGTAAGCTACATTTTTAAACATATTTCACTCCAGTCCATGTTTTATAAATCTTTATTTATCCTACAAAATACATTTGTCTAATTCTTTCTATTTTTTCTTTTGATATTTTCTTTTAATTTGTAAAAGAAGCACCGGATTGTGAAAGACAAATATCAGATATGAAATCTGTTGATATTTTACCGCCAGTATAAAAATAAGGAGATGTGGTATGATTGCCAATGAGACAACTATCCACAAAAGTTCAAATGAAGTGGATTAAAGCAATTATAGGCAACAGTACGGCCTTCAACAATGAGAAAAACCCATACCGTATAGTCGGCTATAAAAGGCCCCGACATGAAAAATATGAAACAATTCAATTGAGAAAACTAACAGCCTAATTTATAACAAAACAATTTACGAAAAACAAATATGAAAGACATGAACCAACGACAACCACTATACTACAGGCTCCTGACTTGGGACTGGCACATCAAGAATATGGTGAGTCCAAACATGTCTGCGAGCGCTCAACCCTCCCCAACCTGGGACAGCGGTGCAACAGCACAACATGAGAACAAACTATAAAAAACAATTGAAAAAGGCTTAACTCATCAGATCGATACAAAGAAAAACATCAAACAAAAACATAAACATGCAGGACTTGGCAGGGTATACATCCTCCCTCATCCATTACAACAAAAATTACACTAAGTACAGATCTGAGAGTACTCAAAGTTACTGACAGCTAGTTCAAAGCCAATAACAACTAAAATTTAAAAAAAAAATCATGTATCTAAGTAGTACGCTTCGGATTATTACAGGTGTGCGTTTCTTTATGTATCACGCTAATCAGACCCCCACTCCCTTATTAAAAAGAAAAAAAAATGTGTTATAAAGGTTAATCGATGAATACAGTGTATTATAGATACCAGTGGTTGTCGTTTGTTGCTGTATGAATGAAATAGTATTATTTAAACTCATAACAGCTTTTTTTCGTATAATTAAAACAGCACTCTTTATGTGCCTGCCCCAAGCCAGGAGCAATTAGTTCAATGATCGTTGTTTGTTGCTGTATATCATATTTGTTTTTCGGTTAGTTTTCTCGTTTGGATTGTTTACATTTGTTATGTCGGCGCTTTTTTTAGCTTTCTTTGCGGCATGTGTTTTGTTCACTGTGGAAGGCCATACGGTGACGTATAGTCGCTAACATATACGTCGTTTTGTGTCTGGTGGAGAGTTGTTTCATTGGCAACCATACCACATCTTCTTATTTTATATTAATATCTACTTTAGGAACAATATGGCATAGCAGATCAAGACTTGAACTACTGTAGTGATAGAAATAAAATACTATATTAACTTCTCTATATTGCTCGGT